GTGGGGAACTGGTCTAGGGTGGCATAGAGCCAGCAGAGGGGCACCAGCATTTTGGGGGACCCAGGGGGGGCTGCCCTCCATTCTACCTGGGAGATGTGCTGCACGGTGGCACACACCGGGTCCCCTTCTGCTGGGTCATCAATGACAAAGTGCTCCCCAAAGTCACAGAATAGCTGCCTGGAGAGGACCAATGGGGCTTTGCTAGAGAAACTGCCTTGCCAAGCTGCCCCAGCACTGCCAGATCATGCCTGGGCTAGGCAGCCCTGCCAGCAGGATGATGACTGCAGTTCAGGGTTGGGGGCTCTGGGGATAAGGTGACTTGGAGCCAGTGGCAGGGCCCCATGGCACAGACTCCTTACCCTGCCAGCCCCTTGGCATCGGCCACAATGAAGCAGATGCCCCGAGCATGGCAGAAGTCCCCAATGCGGAGCTGCTCCTCCAGCGGCGACTCAGTCAGCACCACCACCTGCGCCAGGACTATCAGTGGGTGTCACCATCCCAGGGGGCCCCAGGGCATGGGGACACAGGCTCACCTGGAAGGAGGCGAGGAAGGCCTCCAACAGCTCCCCGGTATAAGCCTCCACCACCACACCAGGGTTCAGCTCAGCCAGGACTCGGCAGGATGCCTCAGCACGGTTCTGGCCCACATCGCTCTGCCCCAGGAGGAACTGCAGAGTGGACATGGTGGGGCACCCTGCAGGTATGGGGTGCAGCTCACCACAGTGGGGTGCTCCATGGGGCCCTGTCTGCACTGGTGAGGGGGCCTCTGCTAAGGACCCTACCTGTGACAATGAGGCACCCTGAACCTTACCAGGACTCCCATCCTGTACCTGTTATTGAGAGCCCCCTCACCCTGTACTCATACCTGCAACAGGGATCCCCCATCTGCATCTGCACCCATTACTGTGACCTCAATCCACACCTGCACCTGGTACTAGGACTCCCCCCGGGTTCACACCTGTATGTTATGGGGCCTCCATCCAAACCCATGGCCATTACTGGGAACCCTTGTCTGCACCCATTATGGGGATCCCCCTCCATACTTGTACCCAGTACTGGGACCCCCACCTGGGTCTGTACCCATAATCTGGACCCCTGTCTATACCCATACATGTTACGGGGACCCCCATCCATACCTGTATCAATTACTAGTACATACCAGTACACGTAAGCAGGACCTCTGTTACCAGGCTCCTCACCCATATCGGTACCTGCTTCCGGCATTCCCTCTCGTACCTGCTAGGGGACTCTCACCTGTGCCTGTACCTGTCCCAGTGAACCCACACCTGTACCCGTTATCGGGAGCCCCGCCCGGCTCAGCCCGGCCCCGCCGGTACCTGGTGGGAGAGGTCGGCGGCGCAGGCGGCACCGCGATCGTGCAGGACGACGCGCCCCGTCCCCGACAGCACCAGCGCCGCCGCCACCTGCGCTCCGGTCCCGCGGAGCCCCGACACCAGCACCGCCGCCCCGGGCAGCCGCCGCGCACCGCCGCCCAGCACGTACCTGCGGGCAGCGGCGAGGGGGTGTCAGCGGGGGCCGTAAGTGGGGCCTGGGGGCGCGCCGCCCCTGCCCCTGCCCCGGTGCCGTCCCGGTGCCATCCCCGCACTCACAGTTGCCGCGAGTACCGCGCCTCCCCGCCGCTTCCCGCCATGGCGGCCCCGCCCCGCCCGGGGAGCGTCATCGCGGAGGCCACGCCCCCTGCCTTGACAAGGCAGTGGCTGGCAGAGACCACGCCCCCTATGCTGATCCCGCCCCTCGAAGCCCCGCCCTCCCCGTTCCCGCGGCCATGGTGGCTCCGCCTCCGAGCGGACCCGCCCCCTCCGTTAGCCCCGCCCCCGGAGCGCCGCCCGCCCCGTTCCCGCGGCCATGGCGGCGGTGGCGGCGGGCTGGCAGCCGCCGTGGCGGGCGCTGGCGGCGCTGGGCCGGGAGCTGGCGGCCGAGTGGGCAGCGCAGGACGTGCGGGCCGCGCTGTGCCAGCTGCTGCTGCTCTGGCTGGGCCTCAGCCTGCTGGGCGTCCGCCTGGCCTGGCGCGTCTACGGCGGGGCGGTGGCCGCGCTCTGCTACCGCACCGGCCCCGCCGCCCGTCGCTCTCCTGGCACCGGCACCGCCTCCGGGCCCGCGCCCGCCCGGCCCCGCGCGCACTCGCTGTCCCCCGCCGGCCCCGCCGGACGGAACGGCGCCGCCGAGCGGCACTGCCCGCCCCGGTGAGTCCCGACCGCTACCGGCCCAAAACCGCTCACCCACCGCGGCCCCGGTCCGGTCCCCTCCCCGCTGCGATCCCCGCCGCGCCTGGCAGCGCCCTCCGAGCAACGCCCACCCAGTGCCCCCCAGTGAACGCTCGCTCTCCCGACTGCACCCTTGCACCAGTACAGCCCCATGCCCAGTACGGCCCGGAGGGGTCCTCTGGACACTGGGTCAGTGCCCCCCAGTCAGCACCTTCCCAAACTGTACTTCCAGATCAGTGCCCCCACTCAGCTCTGCCCCTAGACCAGTGTTCCCCAGTGAGAGCCCCCTCCAGCTGTGCCCCAGACCAGTAAGTCCCAGTAAGTGCCTTCCCAGCCCTGCCTACCCTACACAGAGAGGCAGGTGCCTGCCCCAGTGCTGGGGTACTATTCTAGGGTGCTTCCCCAGCCCCCCTCACACTGCCCCTGTCTTGCAGGGATGGCCCAGCAGCGGAGCCCACGAAGACACACCGGGAGTGAGGAGTGCCAGGACCACTGGCGGGGCACTGCCCATACCATTAAAGTGCTGTGCCCACCCACTGCCCCTTGCTTTGGCACCACCGCCGTCACTGCAGAGGAGGCCAGGAGAATGGGACAGGGCATTTATTGGGGCTGGGGCATTGTGCCCTTGGTGGGCACTGGCCTCACTTGGCCATGTAGTACTGGGTGGGCACAAAGGGCATCTTGGTGACGAGGGCTGGGTGCTGCTTCTTCCGCACCTCGACGGTGAGCTCGGTGCCTGTCCGGCTGTGCACTGCCTCCACGTAGCCCATAGCGATGTTCTTGCCCAGGGAGGGCGAGGGGCAGCCGCTGGTCACTGTGCCTGGGATGTGAGGACACGGGGAGGTGAGCCGGGGCTGGCAGCACCACCCTCCCCTGCCATGGCTACAGTTTGGGGCTGTGCCCACCCCACCCCACCGCCCCCACCTACCCACAGGCCTGCCCTCAGGGCCCAGGATGGCCATGTGGGGCCGGATGGGGGGTCCCACCGATGTCAGCCCCACGCGCTTGCGCCTCGGCTTCTCCTTCGCTTGTGCCATGATGACGGCAGCACCGGGGAAGTCCATGGCTGCACGCCGGCGCTTCCCTGTGGGGCAGAGATGGGTGAGGGTTGGTGATGCCTGCCTGGTCCCCTTGTACTCTCACTGGGAACACCTTGCCATTCTGCCCAGAGGAGGAGGTGTATGTGGTCCCAACCTACCCAAGGTCCACATCAGCCCTGCCTCGGCAGGGGTGACGGTCTCATCGATGTCATTGCCGTAGAGGCAGAGCCCGGCCTCCAGGCGCAGGCTGTCCCTGGCTGCCAGCCCTGCCAGCCACACATTGGGGACATCCAGCAGCCGCTCAGCCAGTTCCACTGCCTGCCCTGCGGGCACCGAGATCTGCAGGGGCACACGGGCAGGGTCAGTGGGGCATGGCCTTCCCCTCCCTCGGTACAGTGGTGGGGGTGCTGGCACAGCTCCCAGGGTACCTCTACGCCATCCTCGCCGGTGTAGCCGCAGCGCGTGACCCGGCAGCCTGGCACGCCAAAGACAGTCGTGGAGATGCTATTCATGAAGGAGAGCTTGGCCAGGTCATCCGACAGCCCCGCCTGCAGCACCCGCGCCATGGAGGGACCTGGGGAGGGTGGTGGCTGGGAGACGGCAGTGCCCAGGGAAGGGGGGGAATGTGGGGAGGGCACTGACATCCATTGAGCAAGGATCCAGAGGAGGGCAGGCCCATGTGGAGCCCCCGCTACCTTGCAGAGCCAGTAGTGCGTTGTCTGACACCTCCACGTGGACGTCACTGCCAGTGGCCTGCAGCTCCTCTGCTCTCCCCTGCCAGGGTGACAGTGGGCTGCTAGCACGGGGGCCAGCCAGGCCACGGCCACCTCACCCTGCACAGCCAGGCTGTCACCAAAAGGTGGCCGGACTCATTCCCATTGTGTGTCCCCACTGCCCGTGGGGCTCGGGCAGCCCCGTACCCTGAAGATGGCCAAGTCCTTGTCAGCACAGCCGGCATTGGACACCACATACAGGTGATCTTCCGACGTGTTGGTGACTATGAGGTCGTCCGTGATGCCGCCCTTCTCGTTGGTGAGCAGCGTCAGGGTGCCCTGCGGGATGCGGCCCTTGGGAGTATGGGCAGCCTGCCTGGTCCCTCCCAGGGCATCCCGGGGACCTCTGACCCCACTGGATGCCCAGTGCCCGCCCGGTGCCCCGTACCTGTCCGGGCTTCAGCTCGGCGATGTCCCCCACTACCAGGCTCTCCATGAACCTGACGCGGTCCCGGCCGTACACCCGGGTCTGGAAGGGGCCGGGGTGTGAAGCGGTGCGGAGCCCCCGGCCCAGTCCCCCGACCCCTACCTGCAGCATGTGGGTGACGTCGAAGAGGGAGCAGTGCCGGCGGGTGTGCAGGTGTGACTGGAGGTGGCCCTGCTCGTATTGCAGCGGGAGGCTCCAGCCGGCGAACGGCACCATCCGCCCGCCGCGGGCCCGGTGCAGGGCATCCAGCGGCGTCTGCTTCAGCCCCTCCGCCCCGCTCCCCCCGGCCCCTCTCCGCGGCGCCGAGCCCGAGGGCCGGCGGGGCAGCGCGGCGCGGCAGCCCGCCCGCAGCATCTTCCTCTTCCTCCTCCCTCCCGGCACGGCTCGGACCGGCCCCGGGGCGCTTGGGACATGGAGTCCGCCCGGCCCCGGCCCTGGCCCCCGCCCCCGGCCCGGCCCGCCCCCGGCCCCGCCTCCCGGGGCCGGAGGGCACGGCCACCCCTATCCCCCAGAGACAGGCGGGCACAGGCAGGGCCAACGTAGCAGCTTTTAGTGGTGACCGAGATGCCACCCAGCACCCCCGCACCCCTCGGTCCCCCCGCACCCCCTTGCAGCGCGGGGTGGGGTCGGGGCTCTGCCCGCGGGATGGGCCCGGGAGAGGCTCACAGGGGGCTCTGGAGCGGTAGCGCTGCTCCTCACTGGCAGACAGTGCAGCGGGAGTCGGGGAATGGTCACAGGGAAGGCTTGGGACCCCTTTGGGGCCGCGGGGTCGACGGCCAAGGCGGGAACACAGGAGTCCACTTGGGCCCCGGGAGCACAGATGGGGCACTTCCCTCCAGCCGGCACCAGCACTGGCACCGGCGGGATCAGGTGTAGGAAAGCAGGTTGACATCGTAGCAGCCATCCACCTGGGAAAAAGAGGGGCTGTTGTTGTCTGCACAGCACAGTCACTGCTGGGACACCCCAAGCCCATCCTGCTGGGAGCAGCCCCTCCAGGAGGGCTCCCTGGCCATGCAGCAAGGCCGGGGTCCCCGTGAGCAGGGTGGGGGACTCACGTCAAAGCGCCCGATGCGGGCGGCTGCCTGGCGAGCCCGGATCACCTCTGTCAGCACCCACATTTGCTGGACCTCTGTTGACACCTTCTCTGGGTCGGGGAGCTCCTGGAAAGAAGTGGTCACAATGCTGTGGAGAGGGGATGGCCTGGATGGGCTGGGTCACCCCAGGTTTGGGCAGTGGTGTGGCTACATGGCTGGGCACTATTGTCCATGCTCCCGACCTGCCAGTGGTTTCCCAGCATGGGGTGAGCAGGGCTCCCCTCTCTAGGAAAACAAGCAGCTGGGGAAGTGGGTGACCCTGATCCCTGGTGCTGTGGTGCCGACACAGCCCACTTGCTGGCAGGTGGCCAGGACGAGGAGAGAAAGCCAATCATTGACTAATGATTAAAAACCTAATCACACAGTCCAGAGTTTCCCAACAGCCTCCCTGCGCAGTGCTCCCTGGGCTCGGGGACAGAAACCTGGCCCCAGGTGGTGGTTCACCCTGGGGACCTTCAGCCAGGTGGGACTGGCAGGCTCAGCAGCAGCTCCCCCAGCTGGGGCACAGCTCTGTGGCACCAGGCTGATAGGTGCCTCATGGTGATGCTGGGAATAGCCAAGCCCTGGCATCTCCCCTGCACTTTCCTTGCCAGGGGGAACATGTTCCAAGCAATTTGGGGTGCTCTCCCCAAACTGTCACACAGCTGGGTAGGGACCAGGACTCCCAGACCTGCTGGGGCCAGCAGCAGCCTCACTGCTGATGCAGTATGAGCACCATAGCACCAAAGCCCAGGTGGCAGAACTGCCCTGGCTGGTCTGGGTGCTGTGCCACCCTCCAGCAGGTAGCACCTCCAGCTGATTCAGCAATTTCCCATGGGTGAGCCAGCTCCCATTTCAGCCCTCGTCTGCCTGGACTTTGCCCACCGAAGGCCACAGGCCAGGCAGATGTGGCTGGCAAGCTGTAAACACGTGCCGTGGTTGTGACCTCCCTCTGCCCCCGTTCTGTCCCCAATGGGACACCTGCTCCTCAGGGCACACCCTCTGCAAAGCACCAGGGACCAGCCAAGCCGCCCTGTCCCCACAGGTCCCACCCACTACTGAGCGATGCTGTGCACCCACAGCTGCCACAGGGACGTTTCTGTCCTTGTCCCCACACTTCCCATCTGCTGGATGAGCAATACTGAGCACCCACCGCTCCTTGGGGAGCTCCTGTCCCCATCCCCCCGTGTCCCACCAGAGCGATGGTGCACACCCACTGCTCCCACAGGGATGTCCCTGTCCCCATCCCCACATGCCTCACCTGCCGGCTGAGCCTTGCCGTGCACCCACTGCTCCCCTGGGGACGTTCCTGTCCCCAGACTAGAGGGCAGGCACTTAATCATCACCTCAAATCGCACATCATCCCCATAGAGATATTTTTCTTCTGAACACTGCAAACTGCTTCCAGCACAAGTTGGGTTATTTCAGGGCTCCACAGCTATTCCAAGTGGGAGCCTGGAGCTGACAGGGCAGGGATGGGGCTGGCAGCCCCCCAAGAGATGCTCCCAGTCTGCATCCCACAGAGGTCCCTCCTTCCCCCCCGTACTTCAGCAGGGATCACTCACCCCGTGCAGGCTGGCTGGCTGCTCCGGAGGGGTCAGCTGGGAGAGCCAGGAGGGGAAATCCTTCTGGGGGCTCTGAAACAGATCCCGAGGGTCACACAAAGGTGTCCTCAACCTCACCTTCATCCCTCACACCGTGCAGCGTGCTGGGGTTTGGAGTCCACCCATAGTGATATTGCTATGGATGTAGTGTCACTTTTCCATCACCAAAGGGAATTTTGTGTTTGGAGTGGTTGTTTGCAACCTGTAACTTGTTGCAGCAGCCTCCAGCTCCATCCTGCTGCTCAAACATCCACCTCTGACAGGGAACTGCTGGGGCTGGCTGGAGCAGTCCCTTCCCCAGCACCTTTGGAGAACAAGGGGACCCAAGTACCCCAGTGAAGGATGAGGACTTGGACCCACGCTCCTGTGTGTGCTCCCTGGAGCTGTCGGGAGCAATGCCAGGCTTGTCCTGGCCCCCTGCCCACACCTGGCAGTGGGACAGCACCAGCACCCGCTCACCTTCTGTCCAGGGGGGAAAATCTGCAGCTCCTCGATGGTGAAGTGGAGCCAGACCGGGGAAGGCTGCCGCAGGATGAACCGCATGGCTGTCACCTGGTCCACATCACACAGCATCTGTGGGGCAAGGGCCAGGGACTGTCACCACAGGGGCTGGTGCTGATCAGGGGCAGCTTTTCAGGTATCCTCCAAAAAAACCCCAACCCTCCCCAGACAGAAGGAGCCCGAGGGAAGCATCACCCTGTGGTGGCTGTCTGGGCTGAGTGGGGCTGACAGGGGCAGGATAGCACCGCAGGACCTGCCACCCTTCTGTGGCCATGGTGGTTGGTGGGGCATCAGCACCAGACCTGCAGGACCTGGGGCGTGGGTGAAGAGGGGTGAGCCCCAGAGGGGAGGGTGATGCCAAGGGCACAGTTGGTCCGGGCTGACCTGCTGCCGGCGGAGGCAGAAGTAGTCCTGGGAGCCTTCCTCGGTGTGTGGGCAGGGCATCAGGCACAGGTCCCGCAGGCATGTCACCCAGCGCCGGGACCCGCCGGGGCCGGGCCGCTGCACCCGCACGCTCAGGAACGCCGTGTAGAAGTTCCTGAAGACGATCTCCTGCACCTGCGGGACAGGCGGCCTCAGCCCCGCACCGGCACACCCATACCAGGACGGGTACCCTCCCCATTCCGGGACCAGGACCGGCATACCCTCCACCCTGACCCGGGCACCGGTAACCCCCCTGTTCCCCCCAATACCGGCACCAGCACCGGAATGCCCCCCATACCGGCACCGCCACACCCCATACTTCACCTGCACCGACATCACCCCCACACCGGCACCAGCATCTGTCTATACCGGGACCGGCATCCCTCCCCATATCAGCACTGGCACATCCTCGTTTTGCCACCCGCACCAGCATGCCTCCCACTCCTGGGGCGGGCACCGCTACCACTCCCCGCCATACCGGGATCCAGAACGCGCCCAGCACCCCGCCCACCATCGGTGCGGGTGGTACCGCAGCACCGGCATCCCCCCGGCCCCGGGACCGCCCCCAGCATCTCCCCCATCCCGCCCCCGGCATCCCCACGGCCCCGGGACCGCCCCTGGCATGGCCCCCTGCCCCGCCACCGCTGCCGCCCCCGGCATCCCCCATCCCGCCCCGAGACCGGCACCACACCCGACCCCCGACTCCACCGCCCTTGTACCACCCCCGGCATCGCCCCTGCCGCCCCCCGGCTCCACCCCGGTACCCGCCACCCCGGTAACGCCCCCGGCATCCCCGCTGTCATCCCCCGGTACCAGCCCGGTGCCTCCCCCGCCGGTAACCGCCGCGGGCGCGGCCGCACTCACGTCGGCGGGAGCGCCGCGGGGGAAGCGGAGGTCGATGACGGCGACGCCGGGCCGTGCGGGCTCGGCCCCCCCGGCCAGCTGCAGCGGGGTGGCGGGGCGGGGGGCGCAGGGCAGCGGGGAGCGGCCCGGCCCGGCAGGCGGACCCGGCCCCGCCGCTCCCGACATGGCGGCGCCGCTCCGGGGCGGGGCCGGGCAGGGCCGTCACGGCGCGCGGGCACCGGCAGGGGCGCCCCGCCCCGCCGCTGTCCCGGGGCGGGGGGCGGGGCCGGGGCCGCGCTCACTCCGGGCATCCCCTCCCGCCCCGGGACCACCCCCCGCACCTCCCCCGTACCCGCACCGGCATCCCCCTGCGGGTTTGTTTGTCACCCCCGCGGCGCCGAGACCAGAGGAGGGGAGTGAGCACCCCCGGTCCCCTCCCGGTCCCACCCCGGCGCACGGGCAGCGCCACCCCGGAGGGAGGGAGAGGGAGGGAGGGAGGCGGCGGGTCCGGCCCTGGTGTGCGGGGTCACTTGGGGCGCACACGACCAAATCCCGGCTGGGGATGCCGGGGCGCGGAGCAGAGGGGATGGGGAGGTACCGGTACCGTGGCGGGTCCCCGGGGGCCGGCCCGAGGGGGCTGAGCCCGTACAAACTGCTGGCAGCCGCACACCGGTTTGTCAGTCTTTTTTTCTTTAATAAAACAATCGGAGGCTGTATCAAAAATTTAGTAAAAAATTAGATTTGAGAGTGCACTGATTTTTTTTTTTAACTATTAACTATTTCTGGCGCTTTTAATTTTTTTCCTTTTTTTTTTTTTTTTTTAATTTTTTTTAACTTTTTTTTTTTTCCAACAGTGTCCGGGCCAGAGTGCTGGCATCGGGGCCAGCCAGGCCGTTCCTGCACCGCTCCCAAGGAGCAGCCGGGACGGAGAACACACCACTGTCGCCAAAACCCCTTCAGGGATCGGGTTTTACTTAAAGAAGAACTCCCCCCAACCCTAGCATTCACTGGGAAGCAGAGAAGTTGTGGCACAGGGCTCTGCTCACCCTCCTGTGAGCATCCCCAGCACAGCGCTGCACCCGGTGCTCAACCACGGGCACCCCAAGCCAGGGTGACCCAACTGATGACTATTTTATGATCCGTGAGAAAAATAAGATTTCTTTGATTAAAAATAAAATAAAAATGATAAAAGAATCAATTCCTGAACCAAGAAGCTGGTCTCCCGAAGAGGAGGAAGAGGAGGCTTGCTGTCCTCAAGAGCCCTCCCCTAAACCAGCGCTGAGCTCGCCTGCAGCGCAGCACTGCTCTCCCCTTCCCCAAAATCTACACATCCCAGTTTAGGTAAACAGCAGATTAAATGTAAAAACTTAAACCATCAACTTCAGAAAGTCCCTTGAATTTAATTATTTTTAGGCTACCTTTCATGTTACGTCCTGTAGCTAGACACACGTGAATAGAAAAAACAGTACAGTTAGTGTTAAAGGCAAACAGCGGAGACCCAGAGTGCTACCCCAGTGCTGCCTGCTCCTCCCGACCCGGCCCGACCCATCCCGACCCCCCTCCCTGCCCGCCGCCCCGGCCCCGGCCGAAGCCCAGCCACCGGGAAGACGTCTTTGAGCCGAGAATATTTTTTCTATGAATAAAATAAAACCAAAGCTTGTTAGGTAAAAATAAAACAAGTGTCCCCCCGAGTCCCGCGAGCGCTCCGGTGCGGCGGGCGCAGCCAGGGAGAGCCTGCTGGGGAGTGGGCTGGGGTTTTGTGTTCCCGGCTGGCGAGGGGGCTGCTGGCCCACAGACAGCACCGGTGTGGAGCTGGAGGCCCCTTCTCCCCCGAGGGCCTCCCGTTCGTTAAGGGGGGACGTAGGGCGGTGGGGACCTGTACGGGGTCATGTTCTTCGGGCGGGAGCCTTTCCCCTCCATGGGAGCGGTGAAGGGCGGGGGAGGCTGGTAGGGTGGTGCGTTGGGGTCCTCGTCCCGCAGCGGCGTGTACTCCCCGATGGTGTCCTGGTTGAGCGGCGTGGTCTCTGGCATGCTCTGGTTGGGGTACTCTGGCGGGGGGAGCGGGGCTTTCTCCTCCTGGAGGATGAGGGGCATGCTGGAGGACGGCGGAGGCTTGGAGTCGTCCAGCTCGTCAGCGAAGATGATGGGCACGCCTTTCTTTATGAAGGTGGCCTGGTCTTCGATGGTCAGCTTCCCTTTCCTCTTCTTGCGATAGCAGATCATGGCGATGATGCCGGCCACGAGGAGGATGGCGGCCACCACCACGGCAGGGATGACGGTGTGCAGGTACACGTCGTCCTCGCTGCTCTTCTCGGGGTCTTTGCCTGCCACCACTGTCGGCGTCGCCTCCGAGATCACCCTGCCGTCCTTGGTCACGGGGACAAACTGGATGTTCCTGCAGCTGCCGGAGCCGACCACCGACACGTTCAGGGGTTTGAACTCGGGCTGCAGGACGTTGGAGAAAGCCGGGCTCGGCCTGCCAGAGTCATCCGCAATTTTTTTGCTCAAAGTCCGTATCTGCTCCCGAGGGCAGGGCTCCAGGGGCAGCGTGTTGTTAGTCCACTCCACGACAATGGAGCCTTTGGCAATGTCCTGCACTGTAATGGTGCTGCTGTTCCTGTCACCGAATGCCAGAGCCAGCTTCTTCACCAGCATGATCTTCTTATGAATGTCATTCACCACTGCATTGTGGTCCCCATCCAGCCTAGCCTTGAACTTCACTGGCGACTTGTCCCCGTGCGGGCGTTTGTGGACATGGATTTCGAAAGCATCCACGGCGAAAAGCCCACCCTTGTCAGTGGCATACATGAAGTACTCGTGCTTCCCGATGTGCTTGTGGTCCGGCATGCCGTACATGAGCTGGCTGGTGCTGTTGAACTGCACCCACGAGTTCTCCTCGATCATCTGCTGCTCCTTCAGCTTCAAGGTCAGCTGCAGCTTGTCAGTGGTGGTGTCTTCCTTGTCGTAGAAGGTATCTGATGGGATCTTAACCTCGAAGTAAGTTCCCTCCCACGCGTCGACCCTGTCGATGTGGTTCGTCAGCTTGGGTGGCTCGTTTGGCTCCCAGGGCCGGGGGAGCCCGCTCGCTGTGGTGCGCACGCGGGACGGTGGGGAGGCTGTTGTCAGCTTGGAGATGGGGGATCTGGTTGTGCCGGGAGGCTTTGTTGGACGGGGAGTTTTGGGCCTTCGAGTAGGCCTTCGTGTTATCGCCATGGAGGAATCCGTCGTGGACGGTGTGCCCGGCTTCAGAGTAGAGACTCGGGGCTTCTTGGTGGTAGTTGAGGGCGGCGTGATCACTGCTGTGGGCTCTACATACCCGGGCATTGTGGGGCGAATCGGGACAGAGGCTGTGCCCGTGCCTTCTGCTACCCTGGTTGGCTGGATCGGTCCCAGCGTAGGCGTCTGAACGATGGGGCCCCTGGTTCTGATGGTGACCGTGGGTTTCCTCGGCAGGGGAATGGGCTCCCGGACGGGGGGTGCTGTCGTCTCCGTGGGAGGCGCGATGGCGGGCGACGTCGGGGTGGGGACGATCCTGGTGGGTGGTTCTTGTGCGGCAGTGGTGGGCGGCCCGATGGCCGTCAAAGGCGTAGGGGTGGCGTTGATCTGCCGCCGCATCCTCTTTGGGAGGTGAGGTTTCTTGTTAGCAATGTGCCAGCCAACAACAGGGTACCCAAGGCGGGCAGACATGGTTCCTTCCTTAGCTGGAGCCTCCACCTTGCTGATGTTGGGGACACTGTTTTGGCTCAGAGAACATCCCAGTTTCCATGAGAGTAAGGCCCCGTTTTCCACCACCTTCTTCGCATTTCCCGGTCCAGCCATGAAGGCCGACATGTCAAAGAGTCTGTTATTTACAACAGGAACCAACTTCATGTTATGAAGTTCCACCTCTGAGAAGCTTCTCATTCTGTTTAAGAGTTCAATCCTCTGCTTTGGTGTCATTTTTGTCAAGTCGGCATCCAAAATGACAGTCAGGATGGTGACCGGCTCTTCCGAGCCGCACACGAACGGCGCTGCGTCACCCGTGTCTTGGACGGCCACTCGCACCGACTGAGGCTCGTTGTGGTCTTCTTGGTGCACCTCAATGGAGAAGACATTTGTGGTCTGTGGCACGTAGCTCCCGTTTGGGAAGTGCTGCAGCGTGGTCACCGAGATGTAGTGGACACCCTTGTCCGTGTCAAGGGGCAGCCCTTCCAGGGACCTGCTCTCTGCATTCCAGTGCAACCAAGAAGGCAAGGAGTCCTTCCCAGCTTCGGAGATCTACCAAACAACAACAAAAAAAAGATGTTTTTAGAAGCACAGCATTAGGATAAGTTCTAGCAGCAATAATACTTAAATTAAAGGATTAAAGAAGTGTAACAACTGGAGAAGAAGCACCCTGGCCAGAGTATGGTGGCCCATGCTGCCTTCTCTGCATGGTGGCAAGGATGAGCTCTGCAGGGTGCACTGGTCTCAAAGGCTTAAGGAGCCATGGAAGGTCGTAAAGTTCCACAAGGAGCCATGGAAGGTCATAAAATTCCACAAGGAGCCCTTGCCTTATTGTGCAGCTACCACACAAGTGGCTCATTTTCTCCAAGGGTGGATGGGGAGTTTACGTCATGGGGACAGTTACAAACAGAGGGTGAAGTTATGCCATACAGCTGAGCTGATCCAACAACGCCCTCTTCCCACTCCTTCCTCTCCCAGCCCTGCCATCTCCCTCCTTTCCTCACTCCATCACACCCTGCAAGCCCATTGCTCCAGCAGCTCAGCAGAACCTATGTTTTCTTCGCTAATTTTCAGCTTCTTCCTGCTGTCCCCAGCAGCCAGGCTGAACTGGAGGGGCTGGAGGCCGGCAAACTGTGGCTCAGCCCAGCTTTAGTCTCAGGCTCAGCTTTAAATGAAGGATTTCACTTTCATATAATAACCTCCTCCTGCAAGGGAAGGCTTTGTGTCAGAGCACAGGCACCTCAAAACTTCAACGCACTATATACCACCTCTTTTAGGTCAATGGCAACACTTGGCTTTTTTTTTAACTCTCCCCTGCCCCAGGGGGCTCCCCTTCCTGCCCTGGGTTGTAGCTGAAGGTGGGCACAAAACCTCAAACCCCCATCTCCCAGCAGCTGACATCGGTCTGCCCACCCTACAGCCGGTTGCCGATCACGAGGCGCAGCGGAGCCGCTCGGGCTGCGCAGCGGAAGGGGTGACGC